TGATCCTGACCATCTCCTGTGTCTGGTCAGGGCTCTGAGGTGTAATGTGGTTTGCATGGCTGCTTTCTCTGGTTCCTGTTTGTTTATACACTGGAATCCTTCGGTTTCTTGTGCCATTTCTCCTATTACCCTGACTGGTTGGGTTTAGCACCTCATCTGTGTAGCCTATTTCTCCTTATCCCCTAACTTCTGTTGCCTTTTCTGTCTCTCCATTCATCAGATTAGTCACCTCAAAATGTCTTTGACTGCTTCTCTTCATCATCTTTTGGAGGAGACTATCCAGGCCAGCATGTGGATCACACCTCATACTTTTGTGTCAAATTATCTGCATCATCTAGTGGTTTCCTTTTCAGCCAGATATTGTTTACTTCCTGTCACCATTCTTCACTTGTAGGTTCATCTTTGAGTAGATAAGTGTCATTTTTCTTCTTTATTTCATAATACAGGGGCTTCCTTTTTGGGTCCTGTTCTGTGGTAAGTATTGGCTGTCCAAGTATACTAATTCTTAAATCCACACTGTGACCATTCTTTTGCTAGTGCTCACTGTTTAGATGGGGTGTTCCACAAGACTGTTTGTAGGTTCATCCTTGTGGTCTTTTGCTGCATAAATATGTTTGTTCTGGACCATACACTCATGGACTAACATGAGTAAAGCAAAAGGAGAATGTTGCCATTCTCTTGATTGTACAAATTAGGTTTATTCTGCTTTTCAAAAATATATTTCTGATAGTTACGTACCTCTTCTCACACTTTCCATCCATTTTCCCCACTTCTGGTATTTGTTTGGTTTGTTATGTATTTTGTGCAAAGCTACACAAGAGCTATCTGTGCTAGCCATTCCAAATTTAGCCGTGAAAGACTAGAGGTAAGGCAGCTAGTCATCACCACCTACTGCCAACTCTTGGACTACTCTTTTACCAATGAATAGTGGGATTGACCGTAACATTATAACACTCCCACAGCTGAAAGAGCGAGCATGTTTGGTGGGATGGGGATTCAAACCTGCGACCCACAGTTTGCAATTCGAGCACCCTAACCACCTGTCTATGCTGGGCTATCTCGAAATGAAGATTAGGTTCTACTGCATAGAGATAGTCAGCTGTGCTAGGAGGGTGTGTCATTCTTCTATTGGTGGAGGATTATTGCATGCTTATTTACATTCTACAATGCAGCTATACCATGTGGAGATTGGTGACAGCATAAAGGCTATTGGCAGGCAAAAATTTGTGCATATAGAAGGCAGCACAAATTAAGGACAGCTGTTTTGTGAGGAAGGTAAATATCTATTGGAAATATATTTTCAGTTTAAGAAAATATTAACATAAAGCAGATGGTGGAAGGAGCTATACACTATGCTAAAACGAATTAATGATATAGTTTACAGAATCGAGTAGGATAGGTGATTCAAACCAAAGGACATCTACTGTGATTGTTTTTAGAAGTACGACTGAGAGAGAGTATGACCAACTGGATAACTCCACAGAAGAACTTGTCATCAGAATCTCAATCTGCTGAGGAATCCAGAGTTCCTGTAAAGACTACTTACAGAGGATCATTGAGGATGAAACTACCAGTGGATTCAGTCACCCACCTACCCTGGAATAAGTCCTCCAGTGACAACAAGAGACAAAATTCCATCTCATGTATACCAGAAGAGGAAACCAAAAGACTTGGTGAATGGACAGTTTAGTGAAGTTTTTTTTTTGTATTAGGGTTGTTCAAGGGACTTTACAATCCAGAAAGGGGGCAGTGATTTGAATGTTAGTTAGAGCATGCATAATATTAAGATCATGTTATTCTTAGAATATTCATGAATATTAATTAATTGGATTGTTTGTGAAATATCTAGTAAGCTTGCAGTGAAATAGTGAAGCATCAAGAAGACTGAATTATTTTCTAGCCAGTAGAGTGAATAAGTCAGTGTGTTCATTTTATTTTTTATCGATGTTAGTTATTGTGCATTCTGAGTCACTTTATACAAGTTAGCTAATTTTTATGTTAGTGTAGTGTAGATATTGTGACTGTAAACATAGGTCTACAACAAGTTACAATGTATCATAGAGTTGGTAGACTATATATATAGGGATGGTCACGGTACCCAATAGGCATAATACAAATATGCACACTAAAAAATCAACAGTGACAGAGAGTTTTACTTTAAACGTTGATTGCCATTCACTCTTCTATGTTTCTCTACCCAACAAGCCCAAAAAACAAGGCAAGAAGCCATCATTAAGATACCAAACCAGAAAGTGACCAACCCACCAAATTGTTCATCTATCTTATTCTTGTTTCAGTCTAGATAACTCTACAATTACTTTATCACTAATGTTAGTTTAAATATAAATCCACTCTATGTGTTTCTGGGCAGTGCACAATGTCATCACTTAGTCGAAATAACTTGTAGTATTTTTTTTTTTTTAAATTATAATTCTAGTATAAACAATGTTATCATTACTCCTTGAAGTTAGCTTAAGTATAGGGTGAAACAAGAATTACCAGCCAATAATAGATGAACGTCAGATGGCTGTAACATGTAGAATACTCAATGCTTTGTACTCAATACAGTCAGCATCTTTAGGGAACCAACCCCTATATTATGTATGAAGTGAAGGAGTAAAAAAAATTCAATACA